TCTGCCTTTTCAAGGATGGGTCATCATTAGCTGTTATCTCTGGGCAGGCATTCCTGAAATGTCATTAGATTCCCAGCTCCGACTAAGACGGGCTTCCCACTGCCTTTTCTATTGCTGAGTTTGTGTCAGGACAATCCGCTTATAACCGCAGGCTGCTGTCATTAAAAGGATTTTTTTTACAACCATATTATTCTCAAATATTCGCCTGATCACACTGTCAAAAAGCTCTACACTTTTTGCTGGGTTCTTTTAATGGCAGGTTCGCTATTTCATAAATTTCTACCAATGTACCAACTCTTTTAATCAATCTGTAAATAAGTTACATATAAATTGTGTAAGCTGTCCCTTTGTACAAAACACAATTGTCGTCTTTGCATATTTGCACAACAGCGCCAATGAAAGCTGTGACGTTTTTACCTTTCTTGTCCGTTCCTCCTCACAAAGAAAACCCATAAATAAAGGAAACAAAACAGAACAAAAATTGCTCTGTTGATGGCCCAGCATTCTTGCACTTAAAAAGATCTACATCTGTACAAAACACATTTACATTTGAACATGGAAGGTTCTCTTCATGAATTTTAATGTATACCCAATGAATTAAAAGACAAATGCCACCACAGCTTGGAGATTGTAGTTTACTGCACAGCCAATAATGCATTGTAATTCTTGGAGTGTTCAACCCCACCATGAATAAATCTCCAACCAGCCCCTCAACCAGTCATGATAAAGAGCCACAGAGAGACAGCTCTGCCGCAGTGTACTACAGCCTCTCATAGCACAGGGTCTCCAGACGAGCCTGCAGGTACTTCTCTCTCTAAGTAGATCCGTGTAATTGTAAAAATCAATGTCAGATTATGACTGACTCGCTCTTCTATCCTTTCAACTAAATGTAAGGGTACAAGGCTGCTGGAAACTAGTAAAAAGCAGAGCAGTACAGTTCTGCTCCTTCCCCACCTCTGTAATTTCAACACTAATGACTTCAAAGTGACGTTTCTATGGTGGAGCAATCTGGTCTGGTTACTGTCCTTTCTCCTTCTCTGATGTCAAGAGTCAGTCGGTTTGATGTCAACCCATGCTTGACATCAAATTTCTTGAGGCTAAATAGTGACAAAACAGAAATTGTACTGGTGGGCAGCAAATGTCAACAGGAGAAGCTGGAGAGCGTCAAAGCGAAGGCGCTCGGCTTCCCCATTCAGGCCTCAGCCACAGACAGGAGTCTGGGAGTCACACCTGGTCCTTCTCCCACTGAGCCCCCATGTGAAAGGCGTGATAAAGATATCTTTATTTCACCTCAGAAATACTGCCCACGTGAGGCAAACTCCATAAATGTCCGATGCTGAGTTTCTGATGCATTTATAACATCAAGGCACGGTTTCTGCAACTCTTTACTCTGTGGGCTTCCGAACACTTCTCGAAGTTAGTTGTGCTATGTCCAGAACTCTGCAGGTACACGTCTAACTCACTCCAGACCCTGGTGGCACATCAGGACTACACTTAAATCTCTGGTGCCCTATAAAGTCACATATTCCATATATGATTGTGTTACTCAATCAAGTGGGACTGAGTAAAAATTTTATTTGTGTTAAAGGAGTGATGTTATTTTATCTATATATGATTATCTGTGCTTATATGGTAAAAAGTGAAGAATCTTGGATGCTTTTATTTATTTATTTTTACCTTGGCTTTATTTATAAGTATTTATTAATATTTGAGTACTTTTTTTCTGTCAGTGGATGTCTTTTGTCCTCTGTTTCTATGGATATCTGTGTGCCTTTGTTTTTTCTTGTCATTTAATAAAACAATTAAAAAAAAAGATCTTGTTACTGACTTGAAAGGCTGTAAATAATCTGGCTCCTTCACACCTCTCTGACCTCCTCCGTGTTTACACTCCCTCTTGTTGGCTCCGGTCAGTTGAGGCCGGTCACTGTACCCAGGACTAAATCTCAGACTTCTGATGACAGTGCTTATCCTGACGCTGCTCATTAAGGGATGCTCTTCCTCTGACTCTTTGACAGACAATTTTTTGGAGTCTTTCCAGATCTAAACTTAAACCTCACTTTTTATAAATAGGGCCTGTGTTTGATTGCCTTAGTTGTTTATCATGTTCTTGTTTCATTTTAATTTATTTTTTATTGTATTTTCATCTTTATCACTATGTACAGCTTCTTTGGAAACTTTTATAAATAGAGAACATCCTTGTTCTCAAACCAAGAGCAAAATTTCCGCCCTGATCTCTGAGAACACACAGACATTCCTTTCTACGGCCACACTGCTTATTCCTAACACGGTAAATAACAATAAATAACACCTTTACAGAGACCAAAGTTCAAGATGTTCAAAAAACACAGTGTCACTTATTAAAACACAGGAATTAAACTTTAAAAGGCAAACGTGGCTTAAAAATTACAAAATTTTACAATTTTACAAATTACAAAACCAGAGTACACTCCAGCAAATCGTGTACATGGAGGGCTCCTGGGGTGTGCAGAATACCCTGCCCTGATCAAGATGAGGACATTTGATTTTCAGGCCCCTTCATCTATTGCTTCTCTTATTATCGTGTATTTTAGTTGTTCTGATCTGTGTATGGTTTTCAGTGAATTGCTCAAAAAATTGTCGACAGAGAAAATCTTTCTATGCTGCAAATCAGTCTGCAAAGGTTCAGCTTCTGCTTTCTTGCCTGTTTTACATGCCAGTCCCCATTACACTGCGATGTTCTTACTTCCTGTGGAGTAAAGGTCAGAGCTCCAGTGATGTACAGCAAGTGACAGAGCATGGTGGTGCCCATTAGTTGGCTTTGCTGGAAGTTCCTTGTGAAAGTCGCCCAACTTCAAAAGGCTGTGTAGAGAATAAAGACACCCTCAGCTAATGATCAGACAGTGCTAACAAAGCAAAGGATTTTACAGTCCATTTTATACAGAGAAGTAAGCATCATCGTGCAGTATTCTTTTATAATCTACCATATTCCTTTTGCATGAAATGACCTTTAGGGCAGAAGATTAAAAAAATGAAGGTGCTCGTAATGGACACACTTTATACAAAATATTTAGTTAGCCTTATCTGATATCAAACCTGGAAAAGAACATCTAATTGGCATGTAAACTCAAAGGGTTTCACCCATGAAACAATGACAATAAAAAAATGTTTTAAATTAAAAAATGTTTTAAAATTCTCTCCTACAGACAGTGAAATGTTTCATTATTACATGCGCCGAATGAACGTATATAGGCAAACAACATGAGTGGACACAGACTACTGCAAATCTACTAACCTATAAAAACACTAATGGGCATGTGGCATTTTTTGTACATGGGTAACATTTCATGTCTTTCTTCTTTACAATTACAGCTACCCTGTTTGGATAACATCTACAGTGTTTCCAATGGGTGAACAAGCATTAAAACGATCAGGTGGAAGTCAACAATGACATTTTAAAATGTCCTTTGGTTTGTACATTTGGTCTGCAAAAGTGCAGAATTTTGAAAGTTTACAGATATGGTAAAAACATTTTGAAATATGTCTGTTTAACTGAAACACTCTTTAAACAACAGACAGATTTTTAAGTTCCTTCATGAAAAGAAGTCAGAATACCTTATCGACTGTGGTCACGGATGAAGAAGGAAATTTGATTAAAAGTAATTTAAAAGCCTGATATGAACAATCATGTTTTCAACTCTCATATGATTATTTAATTGTTCTCTTTATACTTCCATTACCAGGAGAGTTTTTTTTTTTCTTCTGGGTGAGTGCTTAAATTCAACAACAGACAATAACTTCTCATTTTGTAAAAATATGGTAATGTAGTACCATCCAAATTCACTGTACATCAACAAGGATAATTAATGGATGATGAAAAAAACTGTTGACTTAAAAGCTCTCTCGTACCTGAATACTAATGAACAATAATCTCGAAATGATTACTATGTGACAGGAATGGCTTCCTCTGAATGCCTACTACTTCAGCAGCCTTGCCTTCACCTTCTTCTCCCTGTCATGGTAGTGAGAGCTACTTTAATATTACAACTTATTCATGAGCCAGTGTCAACTTATTCATGAGCCAGCACCCCTGGAAATCTGAAGCCTTCCTAAGCCCATGCACTGCACACAACATTCCTCCCTGTGCTGTGAACACGTTGGGTCACATCAGAGGTGATCTTTTAATTGGCTGAATTACGGGTCAATAAGGTTTTGAACTGTACGGCAGCCGAAACACTAGTGTCTGTTCCATCAGATGAACAGTGCTTCTTCATCCCCCAGTGTCTGCAGCAGACAACCCAGACCCTCAGGAAGGGTGCGGTGATTGGGAAAGGACTTAACGAACAACCCTAACTTCACTGAGTGTCAGCCTTGAAATCAGGAGTTAACATCCCTACTTTTCCAAACATGGGCTCTTCACTGAGCAGCAGTCAGGACCTTGTTTAACATCGCATCCGAAGGATGGAAACTCTGATCGAGAGGGACAACGGAGTGAAAAGAGGAAAGAAAAGCATTTTGGAGGGGATTTGGAAAGATTAATGTATTAATGCTGCTCGACTTCAATCTTGCAAAACAAATTGGGGCTTGCTTTCATTGTCGGACGACAAGAGGGAATTGTTTTAAATGTCCCGGAATTAGCTGAGTGACCCTGTCAAGAGGCCTGAGCTCTGGCCATGTTGGCATGGGGTGAAATGAGTCCGTCTGATTGGAAGCGTTTATGTTTTGCTTGTAAGACATTTTGCATTCAGGGCCACGGGCATAAATCACTGGGGCACACGAGGCAGAGGAAGGAAGAGGAAAGACTAAACAGGGTGACTTTTTCCCCTCCGTGAAAAATCAATGCTTCACAGAATGCACCCAGCATGCGGATTTTCAGAACTAGAACTAAAACGAAGCCATGCGCTTCTCCCATTTTGTCTATTTGATCCCTTCCCCGGCAATGAGCAGCATCTGGCAGATCCTCATTTGTCTTCCAAGCCTTTCCTGTCGGTCGGGAAGGCATCACAGCTGCTGTGCGCTATTAAGACAAAACGTATTATTTATTTAATAAAACAGTACAAGCTTGCATCATTTTTACTTTCAGATATCACTTATGGGAACTTATGGCTGTCACCTCTAAAAACAATTGGAAGTAATAAGAAAATTTGTGTCGTTCACCAGTTACATAGGGGAGGGGTTAAGAAACAGTTCCCATCTCGTTTTTTTGTACAACCTTAGACTCTAGAGCTGCCCTCCATATCTACCGCACTCGGGAACGTTTTAGACCATGATCATATTGCACGGTGTTAAGTTATACCAGGACAAACCCACATTTATAAGTCAGATTTTTTTTTTAATCACAAAACCTCAAACAATAGAAAGATGAGACACCTAGAGAGATTTTACTTTCCTCCCTGTCAAGTCTCCAGAATTGGTGGTGTTATCTCTTAGATATCAGAAATGGACAGCTCCAGCTTGAGTGCTGAGACAGGCAGTAGCTTGAAAGCGTCTGGGCACTGATCATCCCGCTCTCTCTGTTCAGGCCAGCCTGCAGACCTGAGGAGCACACTTGCCTTACTCTAGGCATGGAGGGGAACCCCAGTCTCACACTGGGCACTAGGCAGGGCATCTGCTGCATAAAGAGAAGCACTCCTTCCGTTTTCATCCAGTACCTTCAACAGAGAAGTGCAATTCGGGCAGCCACCCTTCACAGCAATCTTGAAGAAGTCAGAAATAAGAAAAATTGCAAATGAAAGGAAGCAGATCAGCCCACCCAGGCAGCCAAAGCACGCTTTGAGAACCAGTGTCAGAAATGACAGGAACAAAGAGAGAAAATTATTTATAATAGCTATTTAGAAAATGCAAGACAAACAAAACATTATATTGTGTTAACAAAATGCCAAATTATACATTTTGCTCCATAATAATAAATTAAACACAATAAATCTAAAATTAAACACAACCACGTTATAGAAAGGTTAAGCACTGTGGGTTTTTTTGTGTTTGTGTAGGATCCATCATGTCTCAGCACAAGAAAGACAATCTATTTGCAATTCCAGTCCACAAAAGAATGGAACAGCAGCTATTGCCAGTTATAACCAGGACACTGATAAATGAAGCACATTAAGTATTAATCAAACTTGACAGTTTGTTATGTAAATTGTATTAAAAATCTATTAAAAACTGCAAACCAGCTGTCATCTTGATAAAAATATTAAAGCAACAAGGGATGCAGTCTTTCAATTAAGCAGAAAGGAACAAAAAAAAATATTTTCTGATTTGTCTTGTCATTAATATAGATTTGGTGACAAGATTTCATCTGGGAATAATTTTCAGGCTCAAATAAGTGTGTTTTGCAGCAGTTGATTAGAGCGACTTTATTTTAACCCCTTCTGCTCCTGCATACCAATATGAGCCAAACTTTTAGTCACAGGGAGAGCTGCACATGGCAAATATACTATATACTCCAAAGGCACTGAGTTTCAGAGCACTGCCTTCGGAACAGTCTTGGAACCTAAAGCACAGATCTCCATTTTGTCCTGATGACCCTTGTTTTACACTTTTGGAGTATTTACACCTTGCAGATAGATATCATGACAAAAAACAAAGAACACAGACAAAGAGAAAACAGATTGGTCCGTCCAGGCTGCAGAGGGAGAAGACATTGTGACACCAGGTTCCCTTGAGTCTTCTGTGAGTGAACCCTGGGGTCTTTTTCTCCCTCTAACTAAGCTTACTGAGCAGAAGGAGAGGGTCCCAGCCCACACTGAAGTGGTGCACTAAATGAGCTAAGGAGCAACCAAACGCTTAGCTTTGCAGGTGCGGAAGTCAACAATTGTTTGAGAAACAATGGAAAACATCATTTTCTTTTCTGGGGAAGCCAGAACCACAGGTTTCTTTTTTCTAAAAACAAAAATGGCACAGAGGAGGTTTTCCTTCATTCCACGCTGCAGTTCACAGCTTCTACAGCACTGCCAGCCAACACCCCCATTAAACCACAGCTGTGTGGCCACTGACAAGCCAGGAATTACGGCTCACTGCCACTGCGGCTGGGGCACCTTGCTGTGAATGTAACACATAGCCTGTAACACCGAAGCTGGAAGATGAAAAACAGTAATGTGATTATGGTGAAAGAAGATTAAAAGCTAAAATTACAGTTTTATTGTAAGAAATAGCACGTCTCATGTTGAAGGAGGGCAAGGATGATATATTGGAATGAGGGTTTAGCCGACAGAGCAAAAGCAAACAGGGAAGTTGATTTTCTAGTGGCACCACACAATACATTTCAGTGAAGCAGCTGTCCGTAACCAAAACCACAAAACCGAAAGACTATGGAAGCAATATCTGTATCAAGAAGAATTGACAATTGAAATAAAAAATAAAATTCTGTCTGCTCTGAAGTATTCAGAAGAAATGAATAAGGCATTTTATTCTATCCAGTCAGTCTCCTTTGCGATTGCCACATCACTAAGTGAAAAGATCACAATTAGCATTAATAACTCAAAGGGCTGTTGTGAATAATCTCAGAATTCAGCCTCTGGTATCTCACAGCATGCGTAGACTGCACAACCTGCACCGAGCTGTTTAAACTTTTTATTCCAAACCTCTCCATCCCTGAGAGTAGTCTATCAGGAGAGGGTGTCATCGTCCTCGTCTGCTCAGTGCTTCAGGGAGGAAACTGGGAGACAAGGATTACCTGCCGCTGGGTTGTTGCCTTCAGGCAGAATTCAAAGGCTCAAATAGCAAATTCTCTGGCAAGGAAAGGGGCTGAAAGTAGGTGGCTATTTTTTATTCACTGCAACAAAAACAGAGAAAAGGAATAATTGGGATGGAAGCACACTTTATGCAAATTGAGCACCAGCATTTCAACACGTTACCTTGGCACTGCCTGGGTTTCCAAGGCAACCTGTACAGTCTTGTGGCAGGGAAACAGCCAAGTGAAAATTCGGCTGTCTGGGAGTCATCTGAGTAGACATAAATAAAAACTGGCCTGAAGGAACTGATAGGTTAAGAAAAGCTTTCTTATTTGGCAGGATATACCAAAAATTTAGGCTCGAGAACTGAGAGTTGTAATAACTCTGTTTTTAACAGTTTCAGAGGAGGCCGAAAGGATACCACATTGCAAAGAACACATTTTAAGAAGCTTGGCTGAAATAAAATAATTTTCAGAGGTTCAACCCTATCGGTTTAAGACACTTTCTCTGAGGGATCCATACACCTGCCACACCCTCCAAGACAGCATAAACACATTAGGGTGTTTGGCTTCTACAGATCTCTACTCTCGTTGCTATGGTATCTAATTAAATAGACAAGCCCAGAAGTAGCATGTGAAATTGGTTAAAACAAAAACAAGCAAAGAAGTCAGTGTTGCACCTAAAAGTATACAGTGCCCTCCAAAGGCAGAGAAAACCACAGACATTTTGACTGTTCATAAAACCACTAAAGTTGTGAATGTAAGGAGCTCAGCACAAAGACTTACTCCTCATCTTCTATATTGCACGCCCAGGCTGTAGAAGGGTTGTCCGTGATGAATATACTGTGCAACAAGATTGGTTTGTAAACTTCACACCAGGGGGAAGCTGATCAAAAACTGTCCTCTCCTTCTTCGTTGGAAGGTAATTATCTTACCTGACCTGTGAGCAGCTCTTACTCTTCTGGAACAATTCTAACAAGCGGACAGAACTGAATGCAAACTCCCTGGCATGACACCGATTGCCAGCAATGGGAAAGACAGGAAGGAGACTGGTGCAGTTAAAAGTACTTTCTTCCAGGGCTCTTGCTTTACAGATATTAGAGGGAAAATAAAAATAAAATGTCGAGGCCGGAACTGTTTGGGAAGCTGCCAGGCAATCTTGCAGTTCTACAAAGGGACTTAGAATTATCTCACTGCCACATTCCTGATAGGCTCTTACCTCTATATGTAAAACCATCACGAACAGAACTGAATGTCAAGAGGTCTCATTGTGGATTCAGCAGCTTAAATTCTTTGCTGTTTAGGATGTGCTACAATTCCTGTTCTTTGTGTGCCAGTTCTGAGGCTAATCCAGCCGTGGATGTGACTGGGTTCCATTTAAAACATTCAACATCATAATCTCATTACATATTATTACTGCAGCTGATATGGAACGGCAGCATCTCAGTTCAGAGGGCTTAACTGCTACAGAGAACATAATGGGATTGGAAAGGAGCTGAACAGGAATCAGGTGAGAGAGGAGGAGGGTAATGGATGGAAATTCATCTCAGGCATGATCAAACTGCCTTTTTTCTTTTAGAGGGAAGTTAGATTTTTTTTTTTTGCAACACACGCATTCTGTACTCGATGACTCCTGTTTTCAAGAAGGTTGAAGAATGAAACGATCTGGTTACCTTAACAGGCCATCTTTAAGAAACCACTTATCCCTTCCCGTTCCTTTTCACAGAAGTATGCAAAGACAATATCCAGCTGCCATTTCAAATGCCTCACCACACAGATAACTGAACTGACAGGAGACACGAAGACATTCTCGATGGGCTGAATACCCCGCGCACTCCCTTCAGGGCCTGTTCCCATCCCTTCCTCGTCCACGCCAGCCTCGTCCGCTGTCCGCTCACAGGCCATACCGTGTGGCACAAGGCTTCCCAGGGTGCGCTAAGCTCTTTTTAGCGACTGAATTGTAAAACAAATATTTTGCTAAGCACCCACCCAACTGGGGATCGCCAGTTGTGTATTGCTCACATCCCCACAGCATCAAATCCAAATCCTGCAGACTCTCACTAAGGGGAGGGCTATGGGGAAGTGTAGGCAGATGTCTCTGCCTCGCCCAGCTTCAAGCCACTCTTCTTTCATCGCGTCACAGATTTTCAGCGCCAGCTGTGCTAGGGGCATGTCCTTCACCGGCTTCTCCACACGCCTGCAACGGTCCATGATGCCTCGGGGCTCGCCATGTCACCCGGCACCAAGAAAAATCTGGCTGGTTCACCCCCCCCCTCGGGGAACCAGACATGACCAGACTCAAACCCACAACACCTGGAGCACTGAGCTCACCCTGTGCTCACACCAGCACCTGTACCAGCTGAGCCACTCAGAAGCCCAATGCCAACTCTGTGTTCTGAGTGCAGGTTTTCAGTTCTTCCCCTTAATTGCTCATAAATAATGTCCAGAGTCTGTATTATGTCTTCATTATTCTTAAACAGACCTCACAAAGTTGCTCAATCATGGTGCCAACGCCATATTTCTTGATCAACAGCCAGACGAAACTCTCAAGGCAGCCAGATGACTTGGCAGTGGGGCCCTCACTCATGCCCAATAAGTCTGTTGCAGAAAACAGTAGGCTGTTTCATTGTGCTTATGCTTATTTCATTAACAACTAAGAGTTGTCATAATTTTCTGTTACTACTGAATCTTTTTGGAATCATCTCCAGCGGCTCACAGGATTTTGTCTCACTACAACTATCCCACTGGATGTGTTACACGTCTTTTACTTCTAGCTCATTAATGTGTTGTAGCACTTGTGAGAGAAAGAGAGACCACAGAAATCACATCGAAGAGCTCTACACCTTGCTCAACAGTACTCTCGATACTGATCACTAGCTCCCGTGAAAGTATCCAGAAAAGCTCTACAACTGAAAGAGGAGTACAGAAGAGCTCAGAAAACACTGAGAGTGCAGCCATTTATAGGCCACACTGAGCATGTTCACCCAATTCAGTTTTCTTCTGACTGGGACGGATGCTGCCAATTCCCACCAAAACATATTGTGGTGTCCAAAGTTAATGATGGACACAAACGCTGAATTAGAAAATATTTGCAATACAGTACATGCTGGAAATCATCTTGAGCCTCCCACAATCCCAGCTTGATGCGTGACATTTGATTCTTAGACCCTGAGCACTGAGGCACACAAATGAGTACCCAGAACACCATGCATGGAACTTTATATCCGAAGCTCAATACATTTAAATGCAGTACATTATTTTCAATGCTGATTCTTAGAAATTTCTCTTGAAAAAATATATATTTCTGTAATTTCATCAGATCTTTTTTTAATTGGCCTCAGAGCTTTGACCTGCGGCCAGTTCTAAAGTAATGCATTCCACTCGATTCTTTCATACATAAAGGACAGCTTCTTGTTGCACTGTGTTGTTTGCCATGATGCCGGTGGGAATGGCTTTGTCTTGCCTTCTTAAAGGATTTCATGTGTCTTTTCTTTACAAGGTATGATAACAAGTTGAAACATTCATGTCTTTAGATGGTCACGCCAGGACAAAATATTTTTTCCTGTTTTCCATTGTCAAAACATCCCTAAAGGATTTATGTCTTTCAGTTTTAAACAATCTTTTACCAAATGTCATTTTTGCATTATTTAGTGAACAAAACATCTCTGTCCTATTTTCTTTCCTTATTTTAAGCTGCTAGGGATGCTCCTTTCTTTTGAACAGGATGTAGCAAATTCATAAAAGACTACTCAAAACTTATCTTAACCTGTGATACCTTCAGAGCACATCTAGAGACAAAAGAATTAAAACTGCAATGTGCTGATTGTGTATTCATGTATTTAGCACTGTTTTAATGAATAACTTTAATAACAGATAACTGCTCCCAGACGGATTGTTAAATGTAGAACATAACTAATGGGAATGTAGCTGTGGGGAGTGTACATCACTCTAGCATTCACTCCCAGAAGAAAAGTGGACATTCATCATTGTTCATGATGTCAATGTCTCATAAAAAGAACCAGCAAGCATTGAAAACATAGGTTTTACGCAAAATATTTGTGCATGGACATTTTTTTTACAATAACACATTTTTTGTCAGTCTAAATGGCCGGATTAAACCACAAAACATTTTCATTTCATTCTCCAGATTCCCATAATCCTACATGAAACCACTTCCCAGACAGTCCCGCAATCTGGGATTCTACTCATGACACTCATCTGCTTCTCTGGCACTCGACTGAGACAGAAGAGAGGCTCTTTCCCCACAAGGATGATGTAGCCTTCCCATATCAAGAGTTGTATCTTTTTTTTTAGTTGACCATGGAGTTGGCTCTAAGGAAACATGAGCTCTCTGATGTACGTACCCCCTCCCGAAGCCCAGTTTTCCTAACCTCTGGACAATTTTCCTGTCCAGAAAGGTGACACGCGTCGTCATAAGAATATCGAATTATTCAGCCCATCCAGTCCACTTGCCTGCTGGAAGCAATTAAAATTGAGAATCCCACCCAGCTGCTTCTTGAAGGAAGCCAGGGTTTCAGCTTCAAAAACATTCCCTACTCCTCCCATCCTTTGCGTAAAAGAAATGCTTCCTGTTTTCCATTTTAAAGTGCATTTCCACTGCCCTAACCCGTCCAGAAGGAAGTGACTCACACCAAGAGAAGTGAGATTATTAACAAAGGTCATAAAAACAGCTAAATGAACCTGCATTAATCCACTTGCTGCACTGCACAGTAGTGTAGGCAGCACTTACAGGCCACAGCTGCAACAGGGTGTTCAACAGTGAGAAAAGGAAAAAAACAATGCCTTGTGCATCCTGCAGCGCTGCAGATGAGACACCATCATTTCCACAAGGGAAAACTTGAACAAGTACACATCTTCCAAATTGAGATTCTGCCATCTTGGGCTGTGGTCCTGGGAGGTAAAGGCAGGAAAACATTCACATGTGTAGCACACAATATTGCCCACCTATCACATCATCCTGAATAGTATTATTATTGGAACAAGTAATAGGTTTATTCCATGCTGAAAAAAAAAGAAGAAAGAGAACACAACATTTCGGCCGTAGAGCCTTCTTCAGGTGCAGGTGTACACCTGAAGAAGGCTCCACGGCCGAAACGTTGTGTTCTCTTTCTTCTTTTTTTTTCAGCATGGAATAAACCTATTACTTGTTCCTTTGCAGCCTACGCATGCTTACGCAGCTACCCACCTTAACTAGTATTATTATTGTTGTTATTGTTATTATTACAAACCTGTAAACTTCTGTCATAGTGTTAGTCAACACTACATTTACAGTATATTGTTGTCTGATTGCTAGTACTGTTAATGAATGTTAACTTTTCTGTTTTGCTCATAAAAAGTACATGAGCATTGCTATATTTATAAGAAACAAAATGTACAATTATATATGAAAAACCTCCCAAAACTTTCAGTGTTGCTTGGAAGCTCCATTTTTTTCATTTTAGGTGTTTCCACCATTAATCTCTTCTATAACAACTCAATGTTCATCAATACAAAATATTCATAAGACATCAAGCACAATATAATGAGATTACTGGCTGCAATATTTAAACCATGAACAATTAATGCAGATAGATGTTTTCTGTAACGTATTTAATGTGATGTTGATGTGATTGTGCAAGCAGTCACAGCATCAACACTCTGCACGAACCACACATTCAACACGGTATTAATTTCCCTGTGTCTCCTCCAGTACCTGCCTGGGGTTCCTGGTGTCTACACTTTCTATGTTAAAGAGGATGTACCTCGTGTATTTACTTTTCATTATTTAAAAGAGAGACACAAGAAAGGTTCTAGAGACGAGGAGGCCATTCAGCCTATCTGATTTGTTTGGCTGCTGGACAAAATGAGTTCTTGATTTTAGAGGTTTAATTTCCTGCTCTATGCCCCCTATTTCTGTTCAGGGCCAGCTGATTTGTTTACTCTGAGACCTTTGCTGAGGAGAAGTCTGCTTTGCTATAAAAATCTGTTTCTTGGTTTTTAATCAAAAAATGGACCTAAAACCATACGATCTAAACTGACATGGTCTGTGCTCCAATCAGTGTTAGACAGCAAATGAATGAGACTAACTGCAGCACCAGGTTTCAATGTTTGGGGCAATTCTGCTCATCACAGCCTGGTGTTTGGTAATGCAGACAGAGCTCCCGTGAAACATCAAGGTCTTCAGCGAAACCATAATGACGTCTGAAGTTCTATTCAATAACCTTCCAAACTGAAGCTGCAATAGTCAAGAAACCTTTGCAGAAGTTGTCAGAGGCAGGGAGAGTGATTTTCTATAATATTCAATCAGCTAGGCTCCATTAAGTTCTTCAGATATGTTTTACTCTGAATTCGCCCTTACATCCACCAGAACCGCTGTTTCTTACTTCAGGTTTTTAGGTTTTAACAGCTTTGGAAGCAGTTATGTTTCCAAGGCTTATTTTCATTCTTCAATGTCATATAAGTACATTTCTTTTTCAGCAATGACAGCCAAACATTTAAGACATTTGCTGAGGACTGAGCATATCAGTTTCTGTTTAGGACTACAAAGCACATGTTAGTGATTGGGATATTACCTACTGTATATGGAACAGAATCCCCCTGGGTGTGAATCCAGATTTACTGTTGTTTATTTAACAAGGTTTACATTAATAGAAAATTTAACAACAAATTAGACAGAACGTGAAGTAGCTTTTTGGCACTCCATCCCTGAAGGGGGAATTTGTGCTCTCCAGCCATGTTAACTGTTCATTTGCCAAGGCACAGGCGGCAGGGTACCTCACTTTCACACAGGTGTACTGTGGAAAGACGAGCCGGGAGCACTTCTGCACCACTGGGCTGCAGAGATCCTGAATTAGGCTCACTGCAAAGGCAGGGATCACCAAATAAGAATCAAGGTAACAGACATACTGTGTTCAGCAGCTAGCAGGGCAGGGGAGGGGTGAGGAAGAATGCATAAACTAATCTCTAGAGTGAGGATTAGGACTCAGTTTGAAGTGGGAGACAGGTGGAGGCCTGAGGTCTCGAATACCGTTAAAGTTAGGGTTAGATTTCTCATTTTGCAGCCTTGCTGCATCTAAGGATATGGTAGGGGCTGGAGTTCGTATAATATTCATGGACCTGGGTGGATTAGCTAGGGCTGAGCTAGGTTTCGTGTTATGGCTGTTGTTAGGATAAAAGATGAAGAAGGGTTTAGGGCTGGGAAAAGGGTGAGCTTATGTTTCCAGTTAGCGTTAGAATTAGAGTTCATAATAGTGAGTGTATCTTATGCAAAGTAAAAGATAACTGCATACATGTTAGCTTTGTCATTAACTATGAACTTTACTCTGACAGTACTAGTTTTCTTTTTCTGATGGTGAAATGAAGCAAAGCACTGTACTCCATACGGTGCCTCATGTTGAGTTATTAATGTCGTTGTGTTCTCCCTTCAACAACTTTCTACTTTTCAGTTTGCCATTCTCTGCAATTGAAGTTTTTCCAATTTTGTTCCATTACAAAAATTAATTAGAACGGAGTGTTCCACAAGTACGGATCTCTTTCACCTCCTGATTAAGGGAAAAAATCAAATAAGTTAATTCCCTTTGAAAGTACTGAGGAAGCTACTTAATGACTGATTGGCTCACTTGCACTAGGCTTAATCATTCATAACTGCCAGGGAAAACAGCCAAGATCTAGCAACATGCTAGGGAAAACTTTAATCATTCTGCCTTCACTAATATTTTCATATTTTAGCTTGTTTATTAATTGTTATTTTTAGATAAGTGTCTGGTTCATGTAAATATTAGCAGATCCTTATCATTGTGTAAATACAAGCCATGAAGAGCAAATACCATCACCCCTGCAGAAAATGACAGAAAGGGCTACCATGCCAGCTTCAGCCAAGATCCTGACATTAAACAGGACGACCAAAATGCAAAAAAACAAAATGTCTATTAAATAAACTTAAGTTATGATTGCAATTTAAATTAATTTTGCTTTGCTGTTACAGGGGTGGCGATTTAAAATAATTGCACCTTTGATTGGACACAGCAAACGCTTAGCGTGTCATTTTAGCAGGAGTAGCAGAAACTTTAAGGTTAGAGGCAAGGTTAGATTTACAGCCTGGCTGAGGCTTCGTATTAAGGATGGTTTGGGCTTTGTAGACCGGTAATGCAAATTAACGCACGCATTTATGACAGAAACTCCCAGTGAAAAGCAGTTGCAAGCAGAGCACTGTAGGCACTAGTCTTAGTCTGAAGT